GCACCCATGTTTATAGCAATTTGGTTTTTTTTTTTTTGGTTTTTCTCCGGTACCGGGAACTGAACTCACGACCTTGCGCTTGCCAGGCAGGTGCTTTTGCCACTGAGCTAAATCCCCAGCCCCTATAGCAGTGCAATTTGTAATAGCTAAATCTTGGAAACAGCCCAAATGCCCATCAGCTGAGAAATGGATAGAAAATATGTTGTATTTTTATACAGTGGAGTACTACTCAGCTATAAAGAAAGATAAACTAGAGGCTTTTGTAGGTAAATGGATTCAACTAGAGACCATACTCGTAAGTGAAATAAATCAGGCCACATGTGTAAACATCGTATACCTCCCTAGTATAAGAACCTGAAAGAGTAAATACAATCTGAAAGGTACAGTAGATATTTTGAAAGGGAAAGAAACTGCTCAAACAGGAAAGAACAACTGGAATGAGGGAAAAGATGAAGAAAGAAGGAAGGGAAAATATGTATATATACTCAAGATAGCTAAGATAATTGTACTACTAATTTCTATTGGTTTATTGAAAGGAACAGTTAATGTTTAATTGTTTGATCAATCTTATATGCCTATATCTGATTATCAGAGTATTGAAGATAACAATATGTAATGTAACAACCATTGTTAATTTCCTATCACCTTGTTTTGAAAATCTGTATCTTTTCATGTTTTGTTTGTCTTTGTTTTTGTTACATTGTTTTTGTTCTTTTCTCTTTAAAATTAAAAAAAAAGAAAAAAGAATCTGGTGCAGTGTCTGCCTGGCAAGTGTAAAGTCCTAAGTTCAATTCCTGTTCCCAACAAAAAAAAGAAAAACAAAATAAAAAAAATTGTCTGTCTGAGACAGTGCAGCAGGGACATCTCTTACAGCCCGACTTCTGAGCAGTACAATATGTGTGTTCTGAGATGCACTAAAGTCTTTCCAAAGAGACCACAAACGGAACTAGTAAACCAGGAGCTGGAAGTTGACCAGTGCTGTATTATGTTAGTCTTTTTAACTGTTCTGTTCATTTATAATAATTTAAGGCCCATATACTAACAATATCTTTAATTCTGAAATTTATAAATTTATAGGCCAAAGTATCAGTCTGGTTTATTTCAGAGTTAGACATGGACATGATCCGAAGAAAGAACTAACGCATTTCTTACTAAGACCTAGAAAAACAATACAGATAAGGAATTTTTTGTTGGAGACAGGGTATTGCTGTGTAGTTCAGACTGGCATTGAACTCACTATGTAGCCCAGGCTGGCCTCGAACTCACAGAGATCCTCCTGGCTCAGTCTCCCCAGGGCTAGGACTACAGATGTGCGCCACCGTGCATGGCTAAGTAGGATATTTGTGACGTTGGAATATGCAAAGATTTCTAATACAAGACACAAAGTACTAACTGTAAAAGAAAATAGATATATTGGACTTAAAACTTCAACTTATGAAAATAAAAATTTAAAAGTTATCCATATTTGTACATAAAATGCCAGCTCATCTCCTACTTTCCACTTTTTAAATAATAGTATTTTTGAGTTCCGTCCTCTGCACCCTTTTTTCCTCATGGCCTGTGGCATCTTTGAGCAATTTGATGTACACACCTACTGCTTTAGTTAGCATGCCGTATCACTCAGGATCTTTAATTCTATTAAGTATATTTGTAGGGACGAATTTGTGCTGATATATTTTGGTTAGTGCTTGGTGTGCTAAATGTAATATAGTGGATTTTAAAAAATCTTTAAAATTTTTATTTGAAAAGGTAATAAATATATTCTAATTCAGAGGGTACAAAAACATGTAGTGAAATCCCTCTCACTTTCGTCTTGGCCACCTATTTACCTCTTTTTCAAAAAAATAATTTTTTATATTATAGAGCATTTCAAAGTACATAAAAGTAGCAAGAATATAGTGGATTCCTGTACTTCATCAGTGATCAACTTGTCCTCCTAATTTCATCTCTGTCTTCCTTTCTACTCTTTCTTTGGTCTGTAGGCTGGGATATTTAAAATGAAATCCTAGCATGGTGTGGTAGTGCACACCTGTAACCCCAGGTGGGGAATTGGAGGCCAGCTTGCCCTGTACAGCAAGTTCAAAACCACCCTGTCTCAAACAATGATACAACAAAAGAGAAATCCTAGACATCACTCATTTTTCCTAAAAATAATTGATACCCATGGTATATGGTATCTCTGAGAAAGATATCTTTCAAAAATGGAATTAGTGCTTTTATTAAACATAGTACCCTTAATATCATAGTGGCTACTTAGTCCATATTCAGATTTTCCTGATAGCTGAAAGTTGTCTTTTTTTCGTTTGATGTGTTTACATTTTAATTCAGCTCTTTTGAGGCAGCCAGTGGTGCTAATCTTTTGTGTCTTTTGAGAGAAATTCTTACCAGGTCTGTAGAAGTCCATATACATATCCCTGGATTCAGTCATTCTTCTCTCTCCCACCTTCCTCTTCGCTTTCACTGTTTTGTGGTACAGGAGACTGAACCCAGGGCCTTCACGCTAAACAACACCCTTAGCTCTTATTTATTTTTGAGACGGAATCTCACTAAGTCACTAAATTGCCCAGGATGAGCTTGAACTTGTAATATTTCTTCATCCCTTCTGTGTGGCTGGGATTGCAGGCATGTGCCATTACGCCGGGCTGGATTTTTTTCTTTTTATATTAGTGGTAGAAGTTATTCTGTGTTTTGTTTTTTTTTTTAAATTATTAGGGTATGCTAATATTACATAATAGGGCTTATTGTGGGGATTTGGTAGTTGCATTTAACCTCACTTAATCAATTTTGATGTCTTTGCCCCTCCCTTTCCTGTTGTCTCTCTTCCTGTTTGTCCCTTTTCCTGGCTCCAGAAGTCTACCCCCTGGTTTCCTATCCTCTCTCCTTTATTTCAGTTGTTTATTAGTTTGTGTGTGTTGTAGGTTTTTCATATATAAGAGAACATAATGTGATATTTAGTTTTCTGGGTCTGGCTAAAATTCCACTGAAAATTATTATAGAGATTGAACTTAGCTTGCACTGAGCTACATCCTGAGCCCCTTTTTTAGTTTTTTGAGACAAAGTCTCTAAGTCACTCAGTTGCCTTGGCTGGGCTCCAGCTTGCGATCCTTCCAACTCTGCCTCCCAGAGTGCTAGGGTTACAGACGTGCTGGGGTTGCACGCCTAGCTTAATGCTATAGTTCCGAGCTCCATCAGTTTCGTGCAGATGACATGATTTTGTTTCTCTCCTATATGTTCCATTTTTTGTTCACTCATCTGTTAAGGGGCATCTAGGCTCTTTGGACTACTCAGCTATTGTGAATTGAGCCGTTGCTGACACGGGTATGCATGCACCACTGAATTATGTATTTTGTAATTCTTTCGGGGATATGCTCAAGAATAGTGTAGCTTGGTCAGACGTTTTTAGTCTTCTGAGGAGTCTCTGTGCAGATTGCCATAGTGGTTGTACTAGTTTACATTCCCACCAAAGCTGTAGAAGGTTTTCTTTTTCCCTGCATCTTATCTTTCAGTTTGTTGTGTCTCGTTTGCTTTGTTTTCTGGCACTAGTGACTGAAAGCAGGGCTTTGCACTGAGTTACACCCTCAGCCCCTTTTGTTTTGGGACAGGCTCTTGCTAAGTTGCCAAGGCAGAACTTGAATTTATGATCCTCTGCCTCAACCTCTAGTGGTGGGATTGTAGGTGGGTAGCACTGCTGTGCTACTTCTTGTGTTCTCGATGATAGCTGTTCTCATTGAGGTGAGGTAGAATCTGAACGTAGTTTTAATTTGCATTTCTCTGATGACTAGACATGTTGAACATTTTTTATACATTCTGGTCATTGAAACTTGTTTTGAGGAATATTTACTTGGTTCTCTTGCCCACTTTTTTTTAAAATTGAAGTCACTGTTTCATGGGGAGGTTAATCTTTCAACATCTTTATATAGTCTGGATGTTAAACCTCTTGCCAGGCGTGGCTCATACCTGAATCTCAGCACCAGGAGCCTGAGGTAGGGGGATCACTGCAAATTTGAAGTTAGCCTGAACTGCACAGTGAGACCCTGTCCCCAAGAAAACCCCAAAGAGCAAAACGCTCCCCGCCACTGCTGCTGTCCCCTCTTGCCCGACTTCCCTCTCACCTCTCCCTTCTACCTCTTACTGAGACAGAGTCTTGCTGTATAGTTCAGGCCGGGCTTGAACTCATTTTGTAGCCTAGGTTGGCCTCGAACTCACGGCAGTCCTTTTGCCTCAGCCACCCAAATGCTGGCATTATGTGTGTGAGCCACCATGCCTGGCTCAGTGGATTGTCTTTATTCTTGTTTCTTTTGAGAGATCTTTTTTTTTTCTTTCTCATGATCACTAGTTGCACTCCTGGCTTCTTGGTGTGATATTCTGTCTTAACTTTTGTTCATTCAGTTTTGCAGACTTTCAGTGGAATTTGTACTTTCCTGGGTATTTGTTTAGGTCTGTTTTATGGGTTTCATTACTTTCCTATGTTGAGTGTTCATGGTTTCCATCATTTTCCAAAACTTTTTTTTTTTTTTTTCATCTATGTCTATTCTATTCACTGAGCAAGTGCTTCATTATGGGCATCATCCCTTTTTTTCTTCTTTTTTTTACCTGAGAGATAATTTCTGATCTGATTTTCTCTATAGCCTCATTCATCTGTTTTGTTTGGTTTCTGCTGCTATCATTTCAGAAAATTCAGGTAAATGGCCTCTGATTTCCTCTATTGTTGTTTCTGGATTTGTCGTGGGTGTGCTGGAGGTCTGGGGTTGTATTTTGCCTCTGCATCTTGTTATTGTCTGTTTTTTAATTTTAATTTGTTTTTGTGTTGATGCTTATAAGTTTCTTAGCTTTATTGCTAGTATTGAGGCTTCCTTAGGAAATGTCTGTTCCTCAGAGGATGATTCTAGGTGTAGCTGGCTCTTGGTCTTTGTGCCTGTCCCCAGATCCTGCCTCCCCAGTTTATGAAGGAGAAGTTGCTGTTTGCTCAGCACCTAGTCCTGTGGTACTAGGCTATGGTCATGAGTGTGACCCCAGACTGTCTCAGTACTGTCTGCAAGGTATGGCACCCGGAGAAAGTGGTACAATTGGCAATAACAGTATCATCAAGCACAGCCTAGACACTGACAAACTGTGCTAATTGTTAATTTGTTACCTTTAACCATAGGAGTAAGATCTATAGTTATGTAACAGAATCTGGCATAAACCAGGAACTTACATGCAGTGAATTTCTCCTTGGAAGAGTGATTTTACTTGGAGGGGGAGCGCTTTAAGACGAGTAGGGGTCAAAACCGAGTGACAACTAAGGAGAAATATAGTGGGCTGAAGGATAAAGAATGATCACCCAAGCTTTGGGAAGCTGGAGAGGAGGACGGTAGAGAAAGGATGAAAGAGAAAGCAAAAGAACATCTAAACAAACCAGAAAGTTTAGAGACAATGTTCATTCACATGTAAATATAAAAAAACTAGAAAGATAGTTGAGGAAAGAAACAGGAGGCGCAAAGTAAAACAAACAGTAAACGTCAAAATCTAAACATCCCCCCTCCATTGACAGAAAACAAAACAAACAAATAAACAAAGAGCAGGAAAAAAATCCTTCTGTGCCCGTAGTTCTGTGGCAGTGTCTACGTCAGAGCCCAGCTCTGTACTGTGCTACGTTTGTCATTGTGGATTTGTACTGTGACTTGAAATTCAGGGTTGTTACACAGCCTGCTTTACTTTTGTTACACAGCATTGCTTTTGCTCCTCTAGGCCTCTTCTGGTTCCATATGGATTTTAGGATGATTTTCTTTAGTTCCATGAGCAATGATATTTTGATTGGGATTATGTTAAATGTGTATATCAGTTTGGAAATCTGGCCATTTTGACAGTATTGCTTCTGACTATCCAGGAACAGGGGAGCTTTCTATTTTCTGATGTCCTCTTTAATATCCTTTTTCAGAGTACTCGTTTTTTGTTGTAGAGATCTTCCCTTTTTTGGTTAGGTTCTTTGGGTTTTCTTTTGTTTTTTTGAGACAGGGTCTTACTATGTACTTCAGGCTGGACTTGAACTCACTATGTAGCCCAAGCTGGCCTTGAACTTGTGGTGACCTCCTGCCTTTAGTCTCCCAAGTGCTGGGATTACAGGCGTGCACTATCATGGCTGGCATAGGTTAACTCTTAAGTATTTAATTTTTCTTTATGCTATTGTGAAAGATGTCATTTTCCTAATTTTTCAGTGAGTTCGTTATTGGTGTACTACAGTGCAGTTGATCTTTTTGTGTTGATTTTGTATTCTGCTACATTGCTAAGTTTGATGTTTAATTCTAGGAGTCTTGATGGAGTTTTCTGAATCTTCTAGGTAAAGGATCTGTGAATGATTTGAGTTCTTATGTGTATCTTTTTTATTTCTTTGTGGGTTGCTCTGGCTAATGTTTCTGGCTGTGTTGAACAGGAGTAGTGATGGTGGACATTCTTGTCTTGTTTCTGATTTTAGAGGGAACAAGTAATTTTTTTTTTTTTTTTCTGGTACCGGGAATTGAACTCACGACGTCGCGCTTGCCAGGCAGGTGCTGTGCCGCTGAGCTAAATCCCCAGCCCCAACAAGTGATATTTAATGTGATGTTGGCAGTAGGTTTGTTGTAAATGGGTTTTACCAGGTTGAGATAGATTTCTTCCATAAGTATCTTCATCAGGGTTTTTATTATGAATGGATATTGTATTTGTCAAAGGTTTTATGCATCTTTGAGATGATCATGTGTGGACTTTTTTTTTTTTTTTTTTTTTTTTTCTTTTTGAGACAGCGTCTCAATATGCAGCTTAGGCTGGCCTTGAGCTCACTTTGTAGCACAGGCTGGTCTTGAACTCACAACGATCCTCCTGCCTCAGCCTCCTGAGTGCTGGGATTACAGGCGTGTGCCACCACGCCCGGCATGTGGGTTTTTTTCTCCTCTTATTTGTATGGTGTATTACATTAATTAATTTGAGTGTGTTGGGCCATTCCTGCAGCCCTAGAATGAAGCCTACTTGGGTATGATGTGTGATCTTTTGGATGACCTGTTGCATTCTTTTTTTTTTTTTTTTTTTTGGTACCAGGAATTGAATTTAGGACCTTGCGCTTGCCAGGCAGGTGCTTGTGCCACTGAGCTATATCCCTGGCCTACCTTGTTGCATTCTGTTTGCCAGAATCTTGAGCATTTTTGCATCTGTGTTTATTGGAGGGCTTGTCCTGTTCACTTTTTCTGCTGGGTCGTTGCCTGTTTTGGAGTCAGGGTAACGCGTGGGAACTGTCTGTTGACCAGGTGTTGTCCACAGGTCTCTTTCTCTGTCTTTCAGTTCCTACCTCAGGTTAACCCCTCGTTACTGGGTCAGCTGCTGCAGTGCGAAGCAGTGTTGCATCTGCCTTTGCCCGACTGGTATGGGTTGCTCTAATCTGCTGCCTGCCGCCCTCTGTGACGAATCTGTCGTCATTTCCTGACCAAGCCTTCCTTTTCTGTTGTGTGGCTGGGTGTCGCTTCATTGATATCTCTCTTTTCTTATTACACCGTTTTAATTCAAGGTGTTTTTGTTTTTTGTTTTTGAGAGGCTTTGAAACAGCAGATAGAAGATTTACAGGAAGATCTGAAAAAGAAGGAAACAAAATGGTCAAGCACATATGGACGTCTGAGAAGCCAGATAGAAATGTTAGTCAGAGAGAACACAGACCTCCGAGAAGAGATAAAAGTGATGGAAAGATTTCGACTAGATGCCTGGAAGAAAGCGGAAGCTATTGAGGGCAGCCCCAAAGCCTACCAGTGTGCGCCTGCTGGGAAGAAAGACGAATCCGGGGTAGGCCTGGGTGCCAGCTGGTTTTTCCAAGACTGGGGGTAGAGATAAGTATTTGAATATTGAAATTTATAAAGACAGAAAGTGGAACGGTGGGTGCCCAGGGCTGGAGAGGGCATGGGGCATGGGTTTAATGGGTTTAATGGGTACAGGGTTTAGTGTTACAAGATAAAGAAGTTCCAGAGATGGGTGAAGGGTGTGGTTGTACAACATTATTAACACACTCAATGTCACTGAACTGTGTATTTAACATTAATTGAGGTAGTGAATTTTAGGTCACGTTCATTTTGCCACAATGAATTTTGTGTATTGCAATATATAGGTATTTTACAATTCTCTCAAAGGAGTTGTACAGCAGACAGATGACCTCGGCTGAAATGTCAAATGCAGGTGTAGTTTGGCAATCACATGCATTGACTCCTTTCTAACCAAATGTCTGGTCTCATGTATCTGTGTGAATTACTGAGCTGTGGGAGGCGTAAATGCCCTGGGGTGCAGTGATGAGCAGAACAGAATTCCTTACCCCCCGGGCCTCACAGCCTCGCAGTAGCAGAAAGACTGTAAGTGCGGTAGATGAATGTGCGAGGCGTGTGTGGGAAACAGTGTGGAGAGTAGGCAGGAAAGGGGCGGTGCGGCTGGCTGAGAGTGTGCGCCTCGGCTCCGCGGAAGGGTGGCCTGCAGGAGGGGCAGGACATGCTGTGGCCTGGGAGGCCAGGAGTTGGGAGAGCCCCAGGGACAGGGTCACTGGGCTTCAGGGGCTCTCCTGAGTCATGTGGGGCCCCTGCTCCTCCCTTGGAGCATGCTCGCCGTGTTCCGCACACTGGCCTGTGGTGGGGCAGGAACATGGGGACTGCTGTGGGAGTGCGGGCCGGGAAATGGTGGCGGGGATGGGGTCAGAGCAGTGGAGGGCTGAACAGCAGAACAAGTTTGTGATGCACTTGACAGGTGTGGCATAAGAGAGGAGGCAAGAGTGACTTCCGATGATAGTTTAGTTTGGGCTGGCGCTTTCGTGCAGTTGGGGTTCCCACTGGTGGGTTACGCGAGGTCCCTGAAGACCACGTTTTTCAGGAAGCTCAGCGCCCCCTGCCGTGGTGTGGAGATGCTGCCTTGGCAGCTGCCCGCATGACCGGGCTTGTAGACGGCAGGTGACACGGGCTCCCTGGGACGTGTGCTGCATGTTCGGCCAAGAGTGGTTGGGAGGAGCCAGCGGGTGGAGGGTGGGACAGGACAGGGCAGCAGCCCCAGAGCAGGAGAGAGGAAGCCAGGGTCGTCCCTGCGCCCGGGGAAGAAAGTCTTGTGGAGAAGGGTGGTGCCCTCCTGCGCGGTAGGAGGCCCCTGGATACTGCGGTGGGCGTGATGTGGCCTGGTTCCTTGGAGGGTGGAAAAGCAGAGCCTGGCTGGACGGGAAAGAACTTGGAGCAGTTAGGGACTGAGTGGCCCTGGGGATTCACTCTGCAGTAGGCTGAGGAGTGGGGTAGTGGCCGCCGGGCAGGAATCCGTGTTCGTCTAGGAAGCGAACAGCTGTGTGTTAGCAGGATGATGCAGTTGAGAGGAGAGCGCTGCTGTGGAAGCAGCAGGGCAGCGGCACAGGCCTGGGCGCAGAGGGCTGGCAGGTGGCCCCAACAGGCGCACGGCCAACTTCGGACGGGAGAGGTGGGCGCTGAACAGGCTGCTGGGCAGCGGCCGTTGGGAGGGGGGCTCCCAAAGCTTGTGCCTCTCAGGGAAGCAAGGCGCGCTCTGCAGCTGGAGGGAGCAGCTGGAGGCTGTGAGGGGAGAAGTCCAGAAGCACAGTCTGCGAGCGGAAAGCCGGGCTCTGGGGAGGGGGCACGGCCCAGGCTGCCCTGGGGCCCGCCTGAGTGAGAGAGCTGCGCTTGGTCTTTCCTCGTTTGAATTTGGGTGAAGGGCGGAGCGGTTCTGTGTTAGCAGAGGCGTGCTTACACCGTTCAATGCCACCAAGCGAGAGAGGGCCGTGGGGCCGGCAGTGAGTGTGACAGAGTAGCTGCTGTACTGAACCTGAGTTTAAATTGTGCTAGAGGGCCGCGCTGTGAGGCTCTGAGCCACGCGCACAGATGTGCCCCGGAGCTGGGAGTGCAGGGCTGTCGCCATGCCAGGGCGTGAGGGTTAGAGCAGGCAGTCGGGAAGATGAGCTGTGTTGATGTTTTCCCCCGTTCCACAAACACTTGACTGTGGAAACCTCCCTCCCCGGGGAGCGCAGACGAATATGGTGACTGCACTCAGCCCCATGCACATTTTGCTGTACCTTTGTACATGTTTTGCTCAGCACTTTGAAGGTCCTGAAGTACGTCAGCATCTTACTAGATGGCATTGAGTTTCTGAAGATGCCGGTCTGATTGTTTTGTGGAATGCCCCAGGTTTTGTGTCTTGTTACGGAAAGCACTGAAATTCTTCGAAGCGTGACTTTTGCTCTTAGAGATGATGGCCTATTTTGATAGCACTGAGAGCGATAACGCCTGGAGTTTACCCGGTGGATGTCCAGCTGAGGCAGTAGCAGTTTGGAGGAGTTTAGGTCAACACACTAACGCCAGAGTGCTGGACTGTCATCTGGCGGGGCATGCAGAGCGCGCGGAGAGCAAGAGTCAAATGCTGGGAGTCGGGCAGCTCTGGGGGCAGTGGGGAGGAGGGAGCCTCGTCACGGTGGTGGGAACGAAGCAGACGAGTTCTGGGAAGAGCTGGGCCCAGGCAGAGAGGGCGTCAGGGCAACTCCTGGAAGAGGCCAGCCTTGACAGGGCCTGCTGGGTCCTGACCTGGAGTGTGTGTGTGTGGCTCACTGCCCGACAGCAACTGTCCACTTGGACCGACGGTGAGAAATGAGAAATGCGGGAACGAGCCTGCTGTTTCCTCGTCATTGGCCGAGTTCGGCTCTGCTCGTTGTCCTGATATGTAGACTAACATTACTTTCAGTATTTTATATTCAGAATTCTGTCTCACACTGTAGAGCACATCTGTTCGAGACCAAAAGAGCCACATTTCTTCAGGGACCCCTGGGGAAAAGTGCAAGAAAAGCTGTTTGCCGAGACATGGTAAGAGGCTGTGTGATATTTTTCAGAATTAAAGAATAGCAAATTTATGCCCAGTAAGAAGTAAGACATTGTAAAAGTAGTTGAAGCCTCTGTGCGTCATTTTACTCCGCCAGGAAGTAGTACAGCATGCTGTGCTTTGTTGTTTTTTTTTGTTGTTGTTTTTTCCGGTACCAGGAGTCGAACTCACCACCTTGCGCTTGCCAGGCAGGCGCTGTGCCCCAGAGCTAAATCCCCAGCCCCTCTATGCTTTAAAAATTTCTTTACATTGTATCTATAAGTTGATATAGTGTTATTTCATGCTCTATTTGTTCTTTTGCAATTTGCTTTTCTCTCAATATTGTCAGATTTACCACATTAATCTTAAAAGCTGCAGGCATTCAGTGGAGTGGCTCTTAGGACTCTGCTGTGTCTTCAGGGCTGGGTCCCTTTTGCTGGGTGGGCCGGCAAAGGAGCAGACTGCAGAGCAGCTCTTCATGGTGTGCTTTTCTCTGGAGCGTCAGGAGCAGGGTGCTGGCGTGTCAGGTTTGTGCTTATCAGCTTTCCCTCTGAAATGGTGGTGCCAGCGTCTTACTGTCTGCAGAACATATACTTGGTACTTGTGAGCACTTGGGCCAGTCACATGTGCGATGGTGCCTCAGTGTGGCTTTACTGAGTATTCCTGCATGCTGGAGGCGTTTCCTTCTTACACTCAGTGGGCATTTTGAGACAGGGTCGTGCTCTGCAGTTTAGTGTGGCCTTCTGAGCTCACTGGGTAGCCCAGGCTGGTCTTGAACTTAGGTGATTCTCCTGTCTCAGCCTCCCAAGTGCTAGGATTACAGGTGGGCTCTACCACGCCTGGCAGAGATTCTTTTTTGTGAACTGCCTTTTAGGCTTTGTCCATTTAAAATTCTAAGCGTGTAACTCCTTATTGAAGTTAGTTGTTCACATATTAGTACTTCGTCACTTATAAGCACAGCCAAGATTTTCTTTCAGTCCGGGTTTAGCTTTTTGGTTTCTGTTCTTCGTATATTTTTAATACTGAATTTACCCGTCTTACAGGTGCTTTGTGTTTTGCTCTCACTGTCCCCCCATCTTGCCCCTCTCCCTGCAGCGTCAGCTCCCGTGGGGCAGCCCGAGGCCTGTCCCTGTGTGGCAGCGTCCCCACTGGAGTCTGTGTGTGTGGTCATTTGCAGCCTTTCACTGAACAGCATGTTGCGGAGATTGGAGCTGTAGCCCTCACTTCCTAACTGTCAGTGCAAGGTGGCATTCGCTTTTTTTTTTTGGTACTGGGAATCGAACTCATGACCTCAGGCTTGCCAGGCAAGCACTTACGCCACTGAGCTACATCCCTGGCTCGGCATTCGCTTTTGAGTGTACTGCAGTGTAGTCACTTTCTGTCAGTAGGTGTACTCTCATCGCGTTTGGGGGTGGTAAGCAGTGATGCAGTGAGCATTCTTGGCTGTTGCTGGTACCTGCATTTCCCTAGTCACCCACCTTGGGGTGGAATAATGGGGGACTTGGTGTGAATTTGCTCTCAGGACTGAGGATGGAAGCCAGGGTCTTCTCGCTGAACCACATCCCCTGCCACCCACCCCCTTTCAGAGACAAGCTCTCATTACGTAGCCTGGGCTGGGCTTGAACTTGTGTTCCTGTGATCCTCTGGCCTTAACCCTCCCAGAGTGCTGGGATTATAAGCGTGACTCCTCTGTGCTTGGTTTAAATACATTTTAATGCTAGTAAATTTTGCCAAAATATTTTTCAAAATGATACATACTCTTAGTAGTCATGAAGCACTTGTTTTGTTAAATTTTGGCCAGGCACATAGGGGAGTAACAGTGTATTACTAGAATATTAACTTGCATTTTCCTGATTATTAAATATCAAACAGTTGTCTCTGCTTAGTAGCTGTCTAGATGTCTTTCAAGGAAGAAGCTTGTTCAGGTTTTTACCCACTGTCCTGTGGGTTTGTCTTTTTCTTTATCGATTTACAAGAGGTTTCCTCTTGCTATTCTCACAGCTGAATGTATCACAGATGTAGTATCTTCTTGCAGTGTGTGGCTTGTCTTTCTAGAGTGAGGTTCTCCAAGTTGTCCAGGCTGACCTGAAACTCACGCTCCTACCGCAGCCTTGAGTGCTAGAATTAAACAGCCCTGTGCCACTATACCTGGCATGTTTTTACTTCCTGCAGTGTCTTTTGATAATCTACATTCTCACTTTAACGTAACTGAATTTCAGGTTTCTCCTTCATGGTACTGTATTTGGTTGTTTTTGAGGTACTCCGGGATTGAACCCAGGGCCTTTGCACTGGGCTGTATCGAGTCCTTTTTATTTTTTTGGACAGGGTGCCCTAAGTTCCTCAGGCTGGGTTTGAATTTGTGGTTCTCTTCGCTCAGCCTCCCAGAGTACAGGGATTCCAGGGTGCGCCATTGCCCCGGCGCCTGGTAGTGTTTAAGTCTTCCTGCATACCTACCCTGTGAGATCTGTTGGCTCCGTTACCCAGTTCTCCTTTCCTGCTCTTGTGTCAGCGGAAGTCCTCACGGTCTTGCAGACAGCAAGCCTGCCCCGGAGCCAGTGCCTGTTTCTGCTTATGCTTGCTCTGCCGAGCTGTGGGTACTTCTGAGGGTTCAAGTTAGTGTTCATGGTGAGCCTGAGAAGTGCACTTGCTGTGTGATGAACTGACAGGGCTTGCTCCTGCTCCTGCCTGTTACTGGTTGACTCCATTGTTCATCCTCGCAGCCTCAGCTTGCTCATGTATCAAGTGGGAATATTAGTCTGGTCTCTGGAGACGATGGGAGCACTTTACACACAGGCCCCGAGAGCTGGAGGCTGTTCTCTGTGTCCTCTCTGAACAGAGCACTCCCGTTGCCCAAAGCCTGACCACCCTGCACACCCGGGCTCCAGCCGAACCTCCCAGTTGCCCCTAGTTCCTTCTTTCTTTTGTCCTCACCGTTCCTACCACTGCCCGCAGCAGTCCGTCTCCTGTTGGTGTTTTCAGGACCCATCACGTTGAGCTGTAGGAACTGGCTGACACCTGGCAGTTTGAGGCCCACACCCCAGGAGCGCGGTTTCCATTGGTGCCCGCAGCCCCTTGCAGGTGTGGCGGCCTCCGCCTCTGTTCTTCTCCAGGCCTTTCTGCTTGGCATTCAGCATCCTTTGTCCTCTCTAATACGCAAGTCAGATTCTGGGAATTGATGAAAGCCCTTCAGAGTTGGGAATGTTTACAGTATGACTCACTAGCATATACACAGAAAGTATAAGCACGTCCATGTTTCTTAACGTTACTGGTGGCATGTGTGAACTTATTTTAATAGTGTGTGGGCTACAGGACCTGATTGGTGTGCTGGTCATAACAGGGCACAGCCTCTAGGACACTTAGGTTTTAACTGAATACCTAGTTGTCTGGTTAAGCTAAACACTCAGTGTATTCTTAGATGCCTCTTTTATCTGTATCTCACTGCAGTCTCTTAATGTTTTTTGTGACTGTCTCCAGAATACCGTTGGGTCTCAAGTTATTTGAGCCCTTGTTTGTCTCTGAATAAAAACTGAAAATATCAAACTGTATTTGATACTGTCTTTGTCTGCCTTGGTCATGGAGAACCTAAGTACTTGTATAAATATTTAAATTTATAGAATGGAGAACTCATACAAACTATTAAAGAAAAATAGTAAGATCTGCTTAATTAAAAGAGAAAGGGCATTTAAGTTCATAAAGGAAATGTTTAACTATACTAGTAATTTTTAAAAGTTCAACATTTTAAATTATATTTTATAATATTGAACCTAACTTTTACAATTATATTCTGACAGGGAATCCATCTCGAAGATCCAAGTCTGTACCTCCTCAGGATGTAGGCAGCTCAGATAAAGGACAAGTAAATATTTTTATATTTCTGTATATTCAAGTGTAGATGACTCAGGCTTGAAATTGATTTGCTGTGTGTAAACCATGTATAAAGGATGCTTTTAAGATTATAAATGTTTTCTGTGTGATACCAAACCCAGTCCTAGAAACTTACCAAGTTAGGATCTGTCCTTAGGAAGTAAGTATAGGTTTTAACTGCTCTAATGTCTTGTCTTCCAGGCTGCCGTGCCCAGGGAGCCACTTGAACCAGTCAACTTTCTAGATCTTGAATATAAAAAGAAGGAAGAAAAAGAAGACATTCAGGAAGAAATCAATCATCCTGATGGAAAGGTGGATTTTTTTTTTTAATGTAAAAAATGAATGTGGGCTAAAGTAGGGTGGAAATGCTTAAGGTGTGGTCATATGCTGCTTAACAGGGAGGCGTGCGTGTGAGAGTCAGTGTTGGGTAAGTGTGTCATGGCGTGAGCAATGCAGAGTGACGGTGTAGCCCAGGACACACATAGTGTGTGCTTGCTTGCTACCTGTCTGCCTACCTACCGTGCACCTGCTTACCTTCCCTGATAAAGGAAAGACCACAAACGAGTCAGGAACAAGACTAGGAGATCTTGATGTACTCACTGTCAAGAAATGTAGCGAGTACAAGATGTACAAGGCTGGTGCCGGTGAAGCATGGCTTCTGCTCACAGAATTTTTAAAATAAAAAGTATGGTGTAGAAAGTGCATGGGCCAGTTAACAGCTGCTCTCAAGTACTATGCGCTTTACATAGTTGTGTGTTCTGTACCTGTACATGGCCACCAGTGAAGATTGTTAGCATCACCGCAAGCCCAAGAGTAACGCACTGCCATTGTGGTCTCAGAGAGCACCTTGATGTCAGCGGGGCCTTACTTGAGCAGTGTGGGACTTGAACCTTTGCACCGCGAACATCACTTCTTACCATTGGTAGTTTACCAGTGTAAAGAGTGGATTACAGTGCAACTGGTTCTTGAGGCAGACAGAGCTTAAAGCCTCCATAGCTGCTTCTGACCCTCTTCTGTAAGCCTTTCTTGTCTCGGTCCTAGGACAGCGGCCTCCCATCTCCAGCCCACTTAGGAAAGCGTTTGGGAAAACGGCCTCGCTGGGTGTCCCGTGCAAAGGGAAAGGGGAAGGGACAAAAGCTGGGTTTGTTAGGAGGAGGTGATAAGGGCTTTGTTCCTTAGATTTACGGAGGATCTGCTCTTCAGATACCTTTATCTACTCATTTTAATAGCAATTACAGGCCTGTGGAAGGAGAGAAGGGAGAATAATGTTTAAATGAGGCAGCCAGGCTTTCCCTGAGTGTCCTCTGTGGCAACAAATCATCGAAGAGGAAAGGTTTTCTGTTTCAGATGAATTCCAGCCAGTAGAGAGAAAAGCAATAAGCAAATTGTTAAAAATCACCAGTTTATAGCCCCTACTGAAATAATGGATCTTCTCTCCTTTTGAGAGAGTATTTTCTTTTTTATTATGAAAAAATTTCAAAGGAAGTACTCAGGACTTGGCCTGGCTTGATTATGTGATTCAGGAAGAACTCCTGCTCACTCATATTCTTGTGTCTTTTTTAGGTGGAAAAAGTTTATAAGAGTGGGAACCGGGTTATACTGTTTCCTAATGGAACTCAGAAAGAAGTGAGCACGGACGGGAGGAGCGTCACTGTCACTTTCTTCAATGGCGACGTGAAGCAGGTCATGCCAGATGACAGAGTGGTATGTTGCCTGGTGCATTTCTTCTCAGTAGCCCGCCTTGGGAGAGTGGCGCCCTGACGTGTGTCTTCACAGGTCTACTACTACGCTGCCGCCCAGACTACTCACACCACGTACCCCGAAGGACTTGAAGTTCTGCACTTCTCAAACGGACAGATAGGTACACACTTGCTCTGCCTCCCTCGATCAGTTCTTTCCTTCCTTTAAAAGTATTTACAGTGACCTTTTTTAAATAGAAAAACATTTCCCGGATGGAAGAAAAGAAATCACATTTCCTGACCAGACCGTTAAAAACTTATTTGCTGATGGCCAAGAAGAAAGCATCTTTCCTGACGGCACAGTTGTCAGAGTGCAACGGTATGGACCTGCTAAATCTGCTTTGAGGTTTTCCAGTGTCTGTGGTTCAGCTCTGATTACCAGCTGAATTGTTAAAAATGTAAAAAGCTTTGGGTATGAGTCACTTGAAATTTCAGTGAGTTCAGAAGTGAACAAAGACCGAGAACAGGTGAGGTGCATTTAACAGCGTGAATTTAGAACCTATGCGATAGCAGAGTCAGTATTTAGCCTAGGGATTTAAGGGGAGTCTGCACAGCACTCCAGCGAAGGGGAGTGGGAATGGCAAGTATTTGTTCAGAAGTAAGTGGGTGAATTTTTTTTTTTTTTCTTTTTTTTTTGGTTTTTCTCCTGTACCGGGAACCGAACTCACGACCTTGTGCTTGCCAGGCAGGCGCTTTGCCGCTGAGCTAAATCCCCAGCCCAAGTGGGTGAATTTTAAAACAGTGAATAAGACCGGAACAAGGCAGGCAGTCTGTTATTTATTTAGTTTGATTAATTGATTGGCACTGGGGCTTGAACCCAGGGTTTTCCCACTGAGTCACATGCGCAGCCCTTGTTCTTTTTTTTTTGAGACAAGGTCTCACCGGGTCACTGAGTTCCCGGGCTGGGCTTGAACTGGTGATCTCGTGCTAGATGTTTAGAGTGCTGGGATTATAGGTGTGGGCCACAACACCCGGCTGAAGTTTGTTAAGTTTTGCACTGGCTGCACAATCCATGCTAATGATAAAGAGCTTCTCATCTCCACCATTTTAATGAAGCTTTGCCAAATCTAGTGGCTTGTTTTCAGTTTTCACTGCTCCCTTCCTGGACTGTGACAATTAAGTACCATTAATCTGAATACAAGTAACACATCTTAGATGCACTTAACTGAACCAAATTCTGTGATGCAAATTTGGCAAGAAAAATGGGTAAAAACATTAAATTCAGGTAATATAGAAATTTTTTATGGTGAATGTAGTGTTTTTTTCCCTTAACATGGCCTGGAATTTTTAACCTAGTGCTTAAGTAAAGAAATAGCAGTTTGGCCAGGTGTAGTAGCGCACACCTCTAATTCCAGCACTCAGGAGGTTGAGGCAAGAGGATCACCGTGAGTGCAAGGCCAACCTGGGTTACATAGTGAGTTCAAGGCCAGCCTAAACCACAGAGTGTGACCCTGTTTCAAAAAACGAAACAAAACCACACAAAAAAAACCACAGCAGTTTGATCTAAAATTAGGGGGAAATTATATATAAAATACTTGGAGTGATATCAGAAAAATGTTGAGTTTTTACTCTCACATTTAAAATTTTGTATAATTAAAAAGTAGAGAAAATAACATGAATAGCTCCATATACCCATCCACCAGTCTTTTCTCAGTTTTTCTCAGGTAAATCTCAGGTACTACTTGATTCAGGCTTGCTTTGGAATTTTTGACTTGTGCTAGTAGTTTTTATATGCTTCCATGTGTGTTAAAGTCACCTGGATTGTTGAGATGTACGCTTAGTGATGTGCATTTCCAACAGGTTCCCAGGTGATGCAGAACCAGCCCTTTTCTCATTAGACTTGTGTCTGGGAGTTCAGCTTGAATATCCCACAGGCACGTCAAGCAATCAGTGTGTTACTTAACCTTTTCATATTCTGCCTTTTCCTTTCATTCTTTAAAACACATCCTGAGTCTGCTCATGCCCTTCCCAGGATACAGCTCTTTTCCACATGTGATATAGAGCAAACATTCAGATAGTTTTTAACATAGTGAAAAGGGGGCCCAAACAAAAGCACAAAAACAAACCCAGAAGTAGCTGGATTTTAATACAGTGACCTACTTTCTTAGATACTGGGGATTGAACCTAGGGCCTTCATTCACGCTGAACTTTTATATCCAACCCTCCCATTAAAAAGTATTTTGTGAGACCACAATGTTAAGTCAAATAAATTAGGTACATGTAAAAAAAGACCAAAATAAAAGATACAAGAACCTGGGCGTGGTGGTACATGCCTATAACCCCAGCACTCAGGAGGCTGAGGTAGGAGGAGTGGTGAGTTTGAGGCCAGCCTGGACTGGTGTACTTCAGCAAGACTCTGACTCTCTCTCTGTATCTTTTACAAAAAGGAAGGGGACCAAGAGATGGATTGGGGAGGGAAGGGATGACAAAAGAATTGGTTTGTTTGTTTTGTTTTTCTTCTGGTACCAGGAATTGAACTCACGACCTTGCGCTTGCCAGGCAGGCGCTTTTGCCACTGAGCTAAATCCCCAGCCGACAAAAGAATTGGGATGTGTTAGGTACGCAGACCCAGTCCCCACAGGGAATGTAGTCAGAATGTAGTCATTAAGTACTGCAAATGTGTACTCAAAAAAAAATTGAAAAAATATTTCAAGACGACGTTTAAGTTGCCAAGCCTGGGCTCTAGACTTGGGATCCTCCTGAGTTAGCCTCCCAGAGGACCAGGATTTTACGGGTGTGTGCTACCGTATTTTTCTCCCCCAGTGCTGGAGATTGAACCCAGGGTCTAACCTACGGTAGGCAAGCGCTCTACCACTTAGTTATGCCCCCAACCCTACTTCATACCTCTATTTTTTTGAGACAGGGTCTCCCTATGTAGTGCAGCCTGGCTTTGAACTCGCTTATATAGCCCAGGCTGGCTTCAAACTCACAGTGATTCTCCTGCTGCAGCCTCCCGAGTGCTGGGATTACAGGTATATGCCACCAGGCCTGGCATACGTCATAATTTTTAAGAAATTAAATTCTACTTTAAATTTTACAGTGATGGCAACAAAATCATAGAATTTAATAATGGCCAAAGAGAACTTCACACTGCACAGTTCAAGAGTCGGGAATATCCAGATGGCACTGTTAAAACTGTGTATGCAGACGGTCATCAAGAGACAAAGTACGCGTCTGGTCGAGTAAGAGTTAAGGACAAAGATGGGAATGTTCTCGTGGACACAGAACTGTAATGCTCCAGTGTGACCAACGCTCAACTCACACTGCCTGATCTTCCTGTTTAGAACATGTACATTTCCTGTGGATTCTGTTTAATTTACACAGGCTCTGTGTATCTAAATGGCAACAAAGGTGGATTCTAAAATAAAGGCTGACTGAAAAAGCTTTGTTTTTCTGTTTTTGAAATACACAAGGATGGCATTCATTTATAAGTCACCTCTTCTGTTTCTTTACAGTTAGATTAAGGAATGCATTATTATTATAAACTGTGTACAATTTTAAAATAATGTGTTTTTGGTTGGAGATGGTTATGAAAACCAAGGAGTACATCTCAGCTATCCCATAACCTCTTAGCCATGGAACTTGCACTTGCATGGACAGGTACTCAGGGAGTAAGAGACTGTTACTCTAGCCAAAACTACTGTGTAGAGTTGATGCGTCAATCTGCTGTAGTGGTATGGGGACCCACTCAGACTGCTTCAAAGCTCAGGGGCGTCAAGGACGCCTGAGGATGTGACCCTGCTTGTCTAGTGCAGGCACACGGTGGAATGCAGTTATGTAACCATCATTTAGCACAGGCTACAGCCTGTGTAAGCATGTAAATATGAGATAACCTGTATAAGAATTACACAGTGAAGATGCAGGCAACTCTGGTGCTCCGTTCTGCTGCATGCTGCCTGCTGTTGCTGATGTCTCGGGACCTCACCCTTGACAGCCTCCCTTGGGGCCCCCAAGTGTTACCAAAATGAATAAATACAAAGAATTCAAACGGTGCTACAGGTAGTACTAGGTAATAATCCTAGGAGAAAAGTTGTAACAGGGGCCAGGGATATATAGCTCAGTGGCATAGTGCCTGCTTGGCAAATGGAAGGTCCTAAATTTGATTCTCAGTGCAAAAAAAAAAAAAAAAGGAAAAGAAAATTTATAACAAGGCTGATTGAATAACTTGTTGCAGAGCAAATTGGGCACAAACAGTGATTAGCTGGGGTTAACCAATGGTCTGCCCACAGGTACCTTGACGTTCTCACCCATAAGGCTCCTGGCTGACAGAAGTGAGGTGTCCTTGAAAGAAGGGCAGGCCACTGACTGTAAATTTAATGATTAGGGCAACAAGAATTTATAGGGACTCAATGAACAAGTTAGCAATTCCATGTGATTTAAGAACTGAATACAAAAAACAAAACTTTAATACTTTTCAAAGAAAATAAGGAATTACATATACCTCAGGATAGGGTAAGATTTTTAAATAAGACACAAAACAAACCTTAGAAGACAAGTGATACGTAACTGGACAAGTCAAAATATACTACAAAGAAGAGAAAGGTAAGCTATAGACCAGGAAAAGACATCATGATGAAGGTTTACTTTCCAGAATGAATATACAGAAGCCCTACAAAAAATAAAACTACAAGCAACAGGAAAAGTATATCAACAAGCAAAGTGACAGACATTCACCAGCTAATTAAAACAGTGAGACATCATTTATACCAGTGTCTGAATCTGGCACTAGTTTGACACTGGTCTAGTTACATCACATGCTAGTAAGCAACTCAAACAACTGGTAGTGAACTGCTGACTACTCTGCAGAAAGTAATTATCCCATGAACATGCACATATACGTGTGTATATACATAAATATGTAGATACAGGAAAGTCGCGTATATAAGGGCCCTATAGAATACTTGTAATTGAGAAAAAAACTGGTAACTACCTAAATAACATTATACACTGGTGAGAAAGAGCTATACACACCAACACAGGGAAACTGGAACCTCACACAGTTAAAGATGCACATACCCCTGTATTACCTGAGGAGGCATTTATATGTAGCAAAAGTACACAGACCTGTGCAAGCGTAACTACTGTGTAAGGCAGGGGCAGAACATGGTGTGGCGGAGCACCGCAGGCCTTTGTGGCAGCTGCCTGGTGAGAACTGTCCTCCAAACACCAGCCAGAGCCAGGCGTGGTGGCGCACACCTGTAATCCCAGCACTCTGGAGGCTGAGACAGGAGGATTGTTGAGTTCAAGACCATCCTGGGCTACAAAGTGAGTTCCAGGCCAGCCTGAACTGCATAGCGAGATCCTGTCTCAAAAAGACAAAACAAAAACAAAAACAAAATCAAAAACAAAAACAAACTGCAACAAAACCCCAGCCAGAGCAACTCCATCTCTCAGGGACCCCACCAGCATGTGCCAACTGCAACATGAGGTCACCCACCACTGTGGCTACACAGTGCTTCCTAAGACCAGCGGCGTTCCCCAGTAGGGGTGAATGAAAGCAGAGAACACAGCTTTTCCCAAGGACCCTTACTGCTTTTGACCCTAGTTTTGGGTAATACTGTGTAACAGCAGTGATTTCACACGGGGGGTTCGCAGCTTTGGTAGTGCCGCAGTCTGCTAGTCATTCACTGCTGTCCGGAACCTGTAATTAACTAATTTCCTCACCAAACTGGACTTGTCATTTTTAGTCTCCCCCCACCCCCACATTTCTTTTACATTTCTCTGGGAAATTCATGAAGTACCAGTTCATAAGCCAGATCATTACTTATGAGTTAAGCTGGGCCTGGTAACACAGGTCTGTAATCCAAGCACTTTGGGAGGCTGAGACAGGATTGCAAGTTTGAGCCCAACTCAAAGTACAAAGGAGGTGGGGATGCAGCTTTGTGTGAGCGCCCTGGTTCAATCTCCAGTACTGCCAAAATGAACAAAACGTGCCTCACCTATTTCATTTTGAAAACACAGCCAAATAGAACAAAAATGTTTGAAAGCAAATATTTATTACTATTCTGGTGTTTCTCACAACAGTCTTAACAGTTCAACATATAAGAATTAGGGAGGAAAAGAACAGCACCATTGTAGAACAGGTCAGGAAAACAGTCGAAGGGTCTAAACGTAGCATACTTCTCCTGGGCTGCTACAGACGCTGTGCTGTGTGTACCTGAAAAACAATTACGTTACTTAGGAAGCATTACTTTGCTTAATGTTCCCTAGTTGCTGAGTCACTGGTTAGAACTGCGTGAATGAGTAAGACACATCTGATTACCCCAGTGCTCCGGTGACTGTTAGACTGCTGACTGCTGAGCAGTTCTACCGCGTACCACACATTCGTGTGCCTCAGTTACTCATGGTGCCCCGTCCCGCTCCCCCGTTCGGTACTAGACAGTCACAAAAGCCACTTCCAGCATTCTCTTTGATACTGTTCGCTCGAGCAGTGAGAAGGGCCCGAGAAGAAATCTGGAAGATTCTTGTAGAGCTTTGTGGTCATCCCTTGGAAAAATCAAGAAAATTCCCAGGTGCTTTTATTTAGTGTTGCTCTCTGCGGTAACCAGAAGAGTGGACAAGGACGTATACTTACATCATTCATCTCTGTCTGCAAGCCCCATTTCCACTAAGGGCATATGGACTGGGTACTGTTCATCTTCATATAAGGTTACCGTCTGTTCTGGTGCCTCAGCCTAGAATTGAAAGATACAGTTTACCAAGAAAACCTAATTATGTCTTTGTCACCCTTTCCCTCCTATATCTGGCCACTCACACTAAAGGGAAAAGGCATTCTCTAGATTTATTTCTAATTTATACTCTATTTCCAAGGGGCACCTGGGATGCCTTCCTGCTAAATCTCATTTGTTTCACTCTAAACTGTAATTAAATATCAAAGTTCTCCTGGGTAGAGCCAGTGGGCTTTATTTAGTATCATCATCCTTGTTAAAAGTTTATTCACATTCCACACATGCTAAGTTTTGGAAGAAGAAGGTTTAAGCACCACCGGGGGTTTTGATACAGGTTCTCTCACATTACCATTCAAGCCTTTCTATGATCGAAACTCCTGCCCTGGTCTTTCCTACTCATCTTTCAGGATGCAGCTCAGATGACACTTGCAGCTTAGTCATTTCAGTGCCTACAAAGAAACTGCTCAACTAAGATGCAGATAATCATTCCTTCTTTCACTCCCTACACCTCCCAAAGGTAGCTGTACCTCTATTATAATACTAAATTCTACCTTGTGTAGTGTTCAGTGTTTGTTTCCCTCCATTGATTTACAAGTTCTTTGACTATACAATGCACATCTTTTTATTGTTCTTTTTTGTTTTATTTTTTGTTTTGAGACAGGGTCTTGCTATGTAGTTCAGGCTGATCTTGAACTATGTAGCCCAGACTGACCTTGAACTCATGGCGATCCCCTGCCTCAGCCTCCCCAGTGCTAAGATTACCAGTGCGCACCACCACACCCAGTACAATGCATATCTTGATCATTTTAATCCCATTATCAGCCTGGGGCTAATACAGTTTGTTAAATATAAATTAAAACACTTTTAATAGCTTTAAAATTTGTTCCAATAGTATACATAGCTTTATGTGTTTTACTACATTTTTTTCCTTGGAGAGTTGCATAGGCACATCGCACTTTTAAGCTAACAGGTACTGTGGAAATATCTGTAAGAGGATTTTGGATAATTAACACCATTTACCATGGAAGAAGCATAAAGCTGTTTTCCTTGAAGACAGTCTATCATAGTCCACAAAGCCTCCATGCTCCACTTGGGACAGTATGGTATTCTTGTCTTTCCCGTGTCTCTTAAGGGAGGTTTAAACCCTGCCAAGAGAACCTTTATGGCACGGGCAGGATACTGCATAAGATGAAAAGGAATTTGACGCAGTCTGTCACAAAAAGAAATTCTTAAAATGTTTAGCATGTCAATTCAAATTTTCTTTTCTTTTTTTTTTTTTGTCTTTTTAAAACAGGGCCTCACTATGCAATTCAGGCTGGCCTTGAGCTCACTTTGTAGCTCAGGCTGGTCTCAAACTTGCAGTGATCCTCCTCCTGCCTCAGCCTCCCGAGTGCTGGGATTACAGGCATGCGCCACCACGCCCAGCTCAAATTTTTTTATAATTTAAGCTCTTACAAGAAAACAAGGGAAGGACTTCATGATGGACTTTGGAATGATTATTTGGGTTGTGATACCAAAAACGCAGCCAACTAACAATCAGATGAAATGGACTTTAAAATTAAAAACTTCTGTACCTTAAAAGACAGCTGACAGACTGAAAAGGCAGCCTGCAGATGAGAGAAAATACATATAGAAATGGACATTTCTCCAAAGATGATATATAAGGGGTAAGAAAAACTTGTGCCAAGATGCTCAACATCACGGTCATTAGGGA